ATGCCCTCTACTGAGTAATAATGTTTTTTGAGTTGTAGGAGGCCCTGGGAGTACAGGAGTGCCTTTAAAAATGACAGAATTGCCCATATGCTTCCTAAAGGACCAAAGGAGACTTTTTCAGCCCTATTTTAATTTTATTTTTTTAAAGTGGAGTCTGTATGGGAATGCTGAGAAGGATCAGGTCACAAGCGCTTTATGCTTTTAGTTTGTGGTGGGATGGAGAGGGAATAATGCATTTCCTGAGTTTTACATGTTTGCCACATGGTTGCTGTGGTGACTTTATTTGCTCCAACCTGACTACCTGCACTTTCAGATCCCCAGGGTGTCCCATTATCCTAGAATGTGCAAACTCACTTTGAAAGCCATAATTGAGAGCAACTTTTAGAACACTTTGCATATGTTGTTGAACTTTCCATCAGCCGGAAGCACAATAGCTAAGCCAGCCTTCTCAAGGGATGAGAAATAATAATCTAGTCTTATCAGGAAAACGTACCTTAATTAGTTAATGTTGAGAGGTATGTTGATATTTACAAAAAGTGATAACTGATGCTGTCCATTTGTTTAAAGTGCAAGATTTGAACCTCAGATGTCCATGCTGAGTTCTTACTGATTCTTCACTGGCTTTTGTTGGTCTCTTGACCAGTTATGAGTGCTTTACCTTTGTATGCCCTTCTGAGAAACAGAGCTTCAAGCTGTTTGTTTGTTTGTTTGTTTATTTATTTATTTATTTATTTATTCTAGTCGGTTAAGATCACTCTGATGCTGCATTATTTTTTAAACATTGGTAATAAAATACTTTACATTACAGAAGTGGAATGCAAATGACAAAACAAAACATTTTTAGCTTAATTAAACTTGTTTCCCATAATTTTTCTTTTTTTCCAAAAATTCACGAGCCCTGCAGAATAATTACAACAGCACAGATGGAAAGAATAATTTAAAATATTAGCAGAAATTGCAGCTAATTATCATCAGAAGCAGACAAGATATGAAAAGTGTTCAAGAATCAAAACTGCCTTTTTCGGTGTCACAAGCGTGAAATATGTTACAGTATTGATTTTAATTTTATCTATAACAAATTTCTGATGGATTCTCTTGTTCAATTGAAATGTTAGGCATCTGCTAATGAATGAACATTGTTTGTCAAAGATTTATGGCAAATAAGATTAGAGGAGTGGCAGCATTTTTCAAATGGATTTTAAAAGGTCCTTAGTTGGAGTCATTGATTGAATTCTTCTCTAATTGTGTGGCTTTATTAGAAAACACCATATAAGGCTGAAGCGAGAAAGTTTCAAGAGACACTTGGCATGAGGGCATAGTCAGGAAAAGGGAAAGCAGTGATAGCCATACAGAGAATGAAATAGAGCAAGGCAAGACATGGCTTGCCTGCTGCTGTTGCTTATAGCAAAAACTGCATAAATGGACCAGTTTTTAGCCCTGGTTTTTATAGACCATGGAGGGAATGTGTTGATTGGTCAGTCAGGTCACGTACTCTTGATTATGTTTGAGGAAGTCCACTCAGAGATAGTGCTGGAAAAAATAGTTTCTAAACTTAGTAATAGAAATTTCTAGAGCTCTCTACCATGCTCACAACTTCTACTGGCTGCTGTTATGGTAACCCTGTGTGCTGCTGACTCTCTTTTAACTGGAAAGGCAAGAACAGAAAGTATCCTCAGAAGAAGAAGGAGGGAGAAAACTTAAGCTCAGCTTTTAACCTTGGAGAGGGGGGAAAAGAGAGGGAAAATGCATAGGTTTATCTGTCCATCATCTCCCCTTTGGTTTCAATCTTACTGATGTGTAAGATTGTTGATTCATGTGTTGGTGCTCAGTTTCCAACTCCGTTTCCAACACAACTCAGTTTCCCATTGACAATGTGGCTCTTGTTTCTGCCGCTGTATTGTGAATATCTTATTCCAAGGCTAAGCTTGTATTTCTGCCTGCAACAGCAAGTTCTGCCTTTCCCAGTCCAATTTTTTTTAAGTGTGTGAAAAATGAACTTAAGTGGCTTTATTCTCACCACAGATGTGCTGGGTTTGTTGTCTGCCAGAGTGCTGAAGTGTCCTTAGTATTAAGTGAAATACCTGAATCTTTCTGGTTTTTGAAACTGACATAACTTTTCATCTTGGCTTTCAGCTGTCAGCTTTTTCGGTTATTCCCTCATATGGACACTCAATGCTGCTACTACATTTCAAATTTTATATGCTGAAAAATCATTGTAACTATTTGATACTCCCTTGAGGCAAAAAAAGTATGCAAAGTAGGTTTCTAGTTTAGCGTTTTAGCAAGGATCTCTGCACTAAAGTCTGTAAAAAGGGCTTAACTGCAGCAACACACTGCCGTGGCATGTAGGGCATCCAGTATTTAAGATCTCAAGATGAAGGGTACTTGTGAAAGAACAACAAACCTCTTTAGAAGTCTGTTTCCATATTCTTGCTATCTTCATCCCCCATAAAATAAGAGAATGACAGGAATGAGCAGCAAGTATCTATCTTGAGGCTGGGCAAAGTTAAAAGCTGCTTTAAATTGAGTCTGGCTAAGAGACCATCTGCCTTAAGACAGACAGACAGACAGACAGACAGACAGACAGACAGACAGACAGATAAAACCTTTATTGGCGTAAGTAAAAATTGGACATAGTCACGATGGTTTGTTAGGTAACTACATATATAGGCACCAAGAGGGCAGAAAAGTGTTAGACATCATTAAAGGGGAAACGGTTCATCTCCTAACAATAGTATCAAGGAAGTCTGCAACTCTTTCTGTAATGTCAGTCATCTTGGCTATCAGAATATAGCAAACTTTATCCATATCTGACCTCCCTTCCAGCTTTAATAAAAATTGGGGCTATTAACCTTGAATGGCCGATTGAGTGAAACAGACAGTGCAAAAACATATGAACAAGGGTTTCCAGCACCCCCTGTTCACATGAGCAGTGCCTTTCAGAATAGGGAACTGCATTAAATCTGCCAGTAGGCATGACATTGCATCTGGCGAAAGAAAAGGCCACATGTTTTGGGGGGGGGGCATTTGAGCAAGGAAAGGTAGGCAGCAGGTTTACCCATTTTAGGAGGAACATGGAAAAACAATGGTAAACAGAATTTATTGGCAGCACTACAAAGGTCCTGGCATTCAGTATCCAAAATTCTTCTTTTCATTATTTGGAAGGCTAGCTCTTGACTTAGAGCTCCAAGGTAGTCTCTATCTATACCAATTGATTTCAATTTTTTCAAGAGCTCAGTTGACCCAGAAGGTGGTCCAGAGTCCCGCAGAAGTTGATATACTAAACTGTCCATGTTTAATTGTAATAGATACTTAACCAAAATTTGAACGATCTCAACCAAACTACAGTCTGTATTAAAGATACTCCGGACTCCAGACAGAGCACCGAGTACGGCACGCATGTAGGTAGTCGTAACACTTTGCATAATTGTAGCTGTTCAATCAATCGATCCAAAGCACTTGCCCAAATTGGGAAACCATAGAAGGCTGCCGGAACAAACCAATTTCCTGAATTATAGTAAAAACGCAAAATAGATTGAGTAGTGATCCTAGCTGTGTTTATAGTCACCTTTCAATGGGGACCCAAGAGTGTTTAACCTGTTCTATGTGATTTCCATTTAGGTTCCATTGAAATTCTTTCCATGTTTTGGCAAAAACCAGTATTTTTGATTTATTATAATTTAATTGCATTTTATTTTTGCTCAGATACACTGCACATCCATTAATCAGATATTTAGATTTCTCAGGAGATAGATGAGGTGGTCAGGCACTCCCATTTCTTTAAGAACTTGCCATAGTTTGCTGTGGTCCACAAAGTCAAAGGCTTTTGCGTAGTCAATGAAGCAGAAGTAGATGTTTTTCTGGAACTCTCTGGCTTTCTCCATAATCCAGCGCATGTTAATTTGTTTTCTAGTTCCTCTGCCCCTTCGAAATCCAGCTTGTACGTCTGGGAGTTCTTGGTCGACATACTGCTGAAGCCTACCTTGTAGGAATTTGAGCATAACCTTGCTAGCATGTGAAGTGAGTGCAATAGTACGGTAGTTGGAGCATTGGTTGTTGTGGGTTTTTCGGGCTCTTTGGCCGAGTTCTGAAGGTTGTTCTTCCTAACATTTTGTCAGTCTCTGTGGTCGGCATCTTCAGAGGACTGGAGTAGGAACTCTGAAGATGCCGGCCACAGAGACTGACAAAATGTTAGGAAGAACAGCCTTCAGAACACGACCAAAGAGCCCGAAAAACCCACAACAGCCATTAGATCCCGACTGTGAAAGCCTTTGTGAATACAGTTTGAGCATTCTTTGGCTCACAATTCTCGCAGCTTTAAGTTCTCAGAGGAGCTTCAAGTTCTCAGAGGAGATTCAAGATCCACACTTGTTCTTTGCTAGGGCTTTCTTTGCAGCATTAAAGCATGGTGAAAGATATAGGTAGAGCTTTCTAAACTTGATGGTAACTGCAAGGCATTAGGGAACTGGTAGTTTTTTTAAAAAACGTTCTCTACAGGGCCTAGCAAACAGATAGCAAACTGTCCCCTAACATTTTGCAGTTCCTATGGAGCTTTGAAATCTCCATCCATGGCCTTCTCCATGCTTGATTGGCTGTCACTGCAGAGAAGACCTTGGCAAGGAACAGGTGTGTATCCTGAAACTCCTCTGAGAACTTGGATTTTTTTTTTTACTAATGCTACCACAATTCTAGCTCGGTCGCTCCTATGAACAAAATCTGAACATTCCATGCCTACAAATTGGTACTTGAACAATCTGATATTCCTACTTGACTGTTTAATGAGGGTATATCCCTTAATTAGAAAGATGACTAAAGAGTCACAATTACACAGCAAATGAAATCATCCTTTGCTAAGTTATAATTGTAAGGGAATGAATTTGCACCTAATAGATAAAATGAAATAGCTAATGGGACTAGTTACTAGTAACTAGTTACTTCCATGTTCTTGCAATACTGAATGAAATGGGTCATTAAAATGTGATTACTTTTCCTGTTTGTAGACAAGAATCTTGCACCTTCCCTCTCCTCCAGCAGCACACCTTACCTCAGTGAAAATGTCTCTGACTCTGAAACAAGAAGGCAAGATGGCGAGCAAGACAACACGGATATACATTCAGAATATGAAAGTGAAACAAAATTCCAAAGAGGGGACAGTCAAGAAACAGAAATGGAGGAAGAGGGGGATAACAACAGAACAGAATATACAACAGCCAAACGCACACCAGATGTTTCATATGGAAGAAAGATGGAGGCGAATCTTCAGGACATGAGTTCCCTCAGTGAGAAGCTCAGTCTTGTAGGGTCATTAGATGTGGATGTGAGGGAGGAAGAGATCGAGGAGGATGTGCTTGTGCATTTTAGAGGCAGCATTCCAGCAGCAGAATCTAGAAGCAAGATGACTTCTGAAGATGAGGAAGAAGGTGGTGAGTATGGTCTGAAGTCAAGTCTATGAGGGATCTCTTGCCTTGGGATGTGGTGTTTTGCTTGCTCTGAACTGGAGTCTGCATTTTCTATGCTTTGTTTCAGCGTGGCCCCATGAAACACAATCGCTTGCTTCTTCCCAATACTGTAATATGTTTGAACAATGTAACTTTTCTGCTTCATTGTGTATGTGAAATACCTGGCAGTGTTGTGTCCTGAAACAGCCAGGCCAAATTATTGTTCCAAATGTTACAATGGTGGTGTATGCAGTATAACATGTGAGACTTTGGCCAGTCTTTCTCTTGTCTCCATCACTGTCATTTGCAGGACATCTTTGGACAGCTGAATTGATCTCATTCCTAGATGGAAACAAATAGATCAAGCAAAATGCCCCAGATTGGATAACTGTCACGTCTTAAATCTCAGTTGGAAAACCTGTTCTGCTGAACGATGGTTGAATCCAACTGAGTTGATTTGTATAGGCACCCAAAATGAATATTTGAGTCTTGTTATTTTTTAAAAAAATCATTTTGGACAAAGAACAGTGAGACACTAGAAAACATTTTTGTTACTACATTTTCCATTATGAAACTATGGACAAATCTCTTAGCTTTAATCTTACCAGAATGAGAAGCTTAGGAAGCTGCCTTATAACTGATTGGACTATGTGTCCGTCTAGCCTAGAGTTGTCTACCTTGATTGGCATGGCTCTCCAGGGCCTTGGGCAGAAGGATTTCCCAGCACCTGCTGCCCAGTCAGTTTAGGTGGAGATGCCAGAGATTGCATTTAAGGCATTCCGTACACAAGGCATGTGCTTTTTGCCCCTTTAAAACTATAGGATATATGTTGTTTCTGGACACTAAAATGCATGTACTTGCAACAGTGATTTTTATTTCCTTGATCGAGTGCCTTGCTAGGAGAGAAAAAGATCACACACATATCATTTTTTTAATAACTGGGTCACAGCAACCTCATCCCATTAGTGAACCAATTCACACTAATTAGCCCAATATCTATGGTGATGTAGACAGGAAGGAGAGCCAAAAGTCATGCAAATATTTCCGATCTGTATATCAGTGTGCATTATTCTGGTAGTGTTCTTGCTTAGATTTTTAAAATGCTGGATGATTTCTTTCATATTGCTGGGTGCTGTTGGCATAGGTTTGCATGTGCACAATGAAAACTAGAATGGTTTGCAGACATCTTGGTGCTGGATTACTTTTCATTGCCTTGAAATTTGTTGTATATAAAATGTGGGAAAAATTTGGCTGGGGGGGGCTTAAAGTTTTGATGATTATACTGAGTTTTTCATATGTGTTTAGTTGTGTGAAATCTTCTGCTTCACCTTTATGCTGGGTTTTCAATGTAACTGACTTCCCAGTTAGACTGTTGGATGGGACTGGTATTTAAGTACTGTTGGAGATTGGTGTTATTAACCACTTACCAAGTATACACACAGGATCCAATGCTCTATACAAAATGGACATGATGGAGCAATCATGTGGGTTGAATTAGTGGCCTGCCAAAAATTTTGGTGCCAAAGCGTCTCATCATGTCTGTTTAGCTCAAATTTCCAAACAGAAAAAAACACACATTACTTGAAAGTTCTGGGTTTTAATTTGCATAGTATTTAGCCCAGAGTTCTTGAGACCCTATTGCATTAGTTGGAGGAGTAGAATCTCAGACAGCTATTGAAAGTATGTATTTTTTTTCTAAAGGCAGTTTTGCAATGCAATGTATACCTGTATGATGAAGCACAGTGGGACTTCCGTATACACAGGATCAGTATCCACTGTTTCACTTATCCATGGTCGGAAAATATTAAAAGAAGAATTCTCGAAATATGGATTTTTAAAGGTGAAGTTACCAGAACTGGCCACTAGAAGGAGCTAAAGACCATGGTATTTATAGTATTCGCTATTAAAATAGCATTTGCTATGATCTGTGGTTTTTCAGCATGAGTGAATACAGGGGTCCTACTGTGCATTGTCATGAATCTAGGGAGAAACAAAACCTTTCACTGAAATTTTCCGTGTGAAAAATGGGAGCTGAATTTGTGATGGTTTAAAATATTCAGATTATCAAAATATAAGAAGAAGATTGCAGAAAAGAAGATTGTTAGGAGCAGATGGTAAAGACATAGGCCTGTATCCTGTTCAGTTTTTTTTCCAGGGTGGAATTCCCACTGCAGGTGCTGCTGTGGTGATCTGTGAGGTGGCCGTTGAACCCCGTCAGATTGCTGCAGCAGCTTCCATACCTGGAGTTTCTACACACATATGCTGAACAGGAAAGGTATGCATAAATATGATACAAAGATATAAAGATAGATTTCCTCTGCAGAACATTATTGTTTGTACAGCTCAAATCTCAAATACAGTTTGTTGGCCTGAGGACCTCCAAGCATTGCTTTTTAGTCCCTATCCAGCCCAGGTGGCCACAAGGGGCATTGGGGAGTAGGGGAGACAGAGGTTTTCTGGTCTTTTGACTATCTGACCTCTAGTACTTCCTCCTGAATTTATTGTGAGACTGATATTCACATGGTCTGCCTATCCATCTTCACTTCCTTTTCCTTCCTGGCTCTAAAGAGCAGACATGCTAGTATTTCTCTCTTTGTGAGCTCCTCTAGTCTAGGGCACATGTCTAGTTCATTCGGAGTTGGTTTAGGCCTTTCTGTTTTCGAAGAGTGATGGATAAGGAATCAGGAGACTTGGATTCGAATCCCTACTTAACCATGGAAATTCAGTGGGGGTACAAATGGTAAATCCCTATTGGGGTTGCTGCAAGTCAGTTCCAGATGGTGCATAGCACACATGCACAAATTTTAATGTAAATGCAGTGGCGCCTCGCTTAACGAGTGCCTCGCTCAACGATGAATTCGCATAACGATGGCCTTTGCTGGAAATTTTGCCGCCTCACCTAACAATGTTTCCTATGGGGGATTTTCGCATAACGATGTTTGGGACCTTGCTTTACTTAACAATGACAGTTTTAGGTCCCCTGTTTCGCTTAACTTTTTTTTTACAGCCCTGTTTTCGCTATATGAAAAATATTCTGAAATGTTTAAAAAATGTTTAAAATGCTTGGAATCATTAGTGCACCTAATAAAACCTTTGTTAAAGTAATTTGGCTTTGTTCTGAGTCTTTTTGAATTTTTGGTGATTTTTTTTCACCATTGAAATGTATTGAATCGGCTCCTATTGGAACGGATTAACCGGTTTTCAATGCATTCCTATGGGAAATGGTGTTTCGCTTAACGATGTTTTCACATAACGATGTTTTTAATGGAACCAATTAACATCGTTATGCGAGGCACCACTGTATCTTATTAAAGGTTATCATAGCACACATGCACAAATTTTAATGTAACTATCTTATTAAAGGTTACTTGTTTGTCTATAATTGCTTCTCCTGCTTTATTGTTGGGGCTGATAACCCAAGTACAGTGGTGCCCCACATAGCGACGATAATCCGTGCAGCCAAAATCGTCGCTATGCAGATTCGTCGCTATGCGAAATAAAAAAGCCCATAGGAATGCATTAAAACCCGTTTAATGCATTCCTATGGGCAAAAAACTCACCTTTAAGCGAAAATCCTCCATACGGCCGCCATTTTCGCTGCCCGGTAAGCGAGGAATGGGTGCGAAAACACAGCAGGTGGCCATTTTTTTTACCCGGCGGCCATTTTGGAACTGCCGATCAGCTGTTCTAAAATCATCGCTATGCGAAAATCAGTAAGCGAAACAGCGTACTGATTGTTGCAAAGCGATTTTTTACCATTTAAATCATCACAATGCGATCGCTTTTGCAATCGCAAAAACTTAATCGCTATGCGGATTCGTCATTAAATGGGGCGCCTGTTAAGCGAGGCACCACTTGTATCTATGCAACACTTACTCTGCTACAGAGAGAAAGCTTAACTGTATTTTCTCTTTCACCATGTGAGTACTCACAATAGATTTTGTATGATGTTTCTGAGCAAATTGCAGACATTCAGTTAGAGATGTCCAGCCAAAGAAGCAACCTTCCAGGAACATATCTATGCTGGTTTAGAAGCCTAACTGGATGAGCATTTGAATCTATATGTCAGTGCACATCTGGATTCTGCTACTATTGGTTGCACAAAACTAATCATTCATGACTAAAGCTGTATAACTGCTATTAGTGTTTCTTGCAGTATTAAGTCCCCCATTGGAACAAGCCATCAGTTTCATCCATTTTGTATGGATGGAATAAAAACATCCTTACATACTAAGAATGTAAACCTTGTTATGCTCATTAACTTGTAGGCAGAGCAATTTGAGAAAGACTGCTCCCATGTGTGTTTAATAAGGTGTTTGTAGACCTAGGCAAAAGCCATTGGGTTTCTTTAAAAAACAACAACACCCAAACAAATGAAAAATGTAAATGTCAGTGAGGTTTAGAACCTCTATACAGTGATTTCTTTTTTAAATGTTGTTTTAGACAGAAGAAGAAACATCTTCAGTTTTTGTTTTGGGAATAGTGTTAGCTGAACTGATAGGAATGCAATATTAATAAAACATATTCTGTTAAGCGCAAGTGAAATGTAAATAACCTTATTATATAAGCACTGAGGTTACAATGAAAATATTAACACAACTTTCAACTGTGTCCTAGGACTAATAAGAATGCATTGAAAATACAGCAAAATTGGAATCATTGTGTCCTGTGCATTTAGGAATATCAAATATGTGTGTTTTGAATGCATAGGGATTTGCATTCAGATCTGTCCATGCATCAAAATGAGATAAAGCATGCGAGCTGTACTTAGGGAATTGACAGAATCATTGGAATTGTGTTTGAAAGCTTAGTATTTAGAAAATGCCCTGCGTTTTTCTCCAACATTTTCTATTTCCTAATTGTTTTGATTCAGTGGAAATTAAAAGTATTTCTGAAGAAAGGTCATCTTATGGCTTGGTGGTTATTTGAGGGGGGAGGATTGGTGTATTTTTTTTTCCTTTTTGCATGATGGAGATTCAGCTGCATGAAGTGTGCTTTTCTGTGTTTGATGCATCGTTGTGGTGAAGGTTGCTGAGTTTTAAGTGGTGTCTTTAACAGCTAATAGAGTAACTTTGTGAGCCAGTCAGTACTCATGACTCAGTATTATTCCCAATTTCTCTCTCTTTGCTCCGCGTTTTTGCAATGGTTGTGTTATTTTTTTTTGAAGAAAGCAAATCAGCCAAAGAGAAAATAGCTGAGGCAATTGAACATGATCATCTTTTGAGTTCTGAACCTGAACCTAGTGATTCCAGTACAGAAGATGAGGAGGAAGATGCAGTTGGTACTGGAGATAAACAAGAAGGTAAAGTAGGCTAAATAAAGTTTGTGTGCGAATATAATTTCATTGTTATTGCCCATTTAAACTCTGGTTAGTATTTAGGTTTTCTGTAGTAGACACTCACCTCTTTATGTTCTTCTGTTCCATACAGGGAATTGTGTCAAATAACTCAAGTCTAAGTTTCTTCAAACTCTTCTCCTTTAACCTACAGGGCACTCATTCCATATCAACTCATTTGCCACAGAATCATTGCACAAGGCAGCAAATCCAAAGCCATGTCTTAGTATACTTGCCCATTTTACCCAGAGTTGACCAGTTTTTTTCCCTTTTGATGCTGGTGGGCTGCAGTTCCCATCAGCTCTAGCCAGCACAGCCAATGGTGAGGTATGCTAAGTTGCACTTCAACAACATCTGGAAGCCACACATTTTACATCTTTAGATCAGATGCTTTCTCCACCTCACGCAATGCTATACAAATTTTACAGTTTCTGTAAGCAATTTTGCTACAAGGCTAATGGTAGTTTTTCTTAAAAATTCTGTTTTCCTTTTCTCTTGTTTTTCTGGTTGAATTATAGCCACTTTCTTGAACTCTGCCTCTCTTCTACCATGCAGTTTCTTTTTTATTCCAAGATTTGTCTGGTTTGACTGCATGGCTCCTTTAACATCACACATAAAGGCTTAGATTAATATTGCCAGCACTTCTGCTCTACTATTTTTGCTGTAGAGGTTTTGCTCCATTTTTCTGAAGATTATTTAGATCATACAAGTCTGACAAACACCTTTTTATAGATCCTAATATAATCCAATTTTTAGGTTTTCCCCCCCATCCCCAGAACATAGCTTATTAAATTTAATTATGGGCTTCATACTCTAAGGGCAGCTAGGGTATCTCAAACTAAAGGGAAAAAAAATCTTAATATGAAAATATTATGCTGGAGTTCTCTACAACATTTTGAACCCAGTGACATTTACTCTGGAGTGCATATGCATAGGACTGCACTGCAAATTATCCTTAATTCTCATTGAAATCAATTGGGAAAGTTAATTCCAACTAATTATCATTTTGGATAAATCCAGTACTACTACGTATTTCCTCTGGATCAGGATCAAATAATCATTTGATAGAAACACAACTTAGCGCTAAATTCAGTATTAGTCCTGCTTAGAGAAGACCCACTGATATCAATGGGACTTGTGAGTTGTAACTAACAAGTCTCATTCCTTTTCAGGCAGTCTTCAAGGAGACTGATGTGGTATTTAGGCAATAGGAAAGAGCCTATGATTGAAAACTAGTCATCCCCTTTTCCTAAGAATTTGTTAGAAATGAAGGCATCAGTCTCAGTATAATTATGGTAGATGTCTTGTAATGGCCTCCCATATTTGGACCTAGAACAACATCCCCCTTTCTTTTGATACACGGGTACCATTTGTTTTGGTGATAAACTGCACATAAGGTCACATTAATCTCATCCTATTTAATTCAACATACAGTTCATACATTCTGTAACCTCTTCATTTGCAGGAACCCCTTGCTTATCAATATTACAGCACCAATGATACTGCTAATTTATTTCACTGTCTTGTCATGGACAGTGTTATTATGTTTATTTTCATATGGAAATTATGCTTCCAAAAATATAAAGCTACTGGCATAGGGACATCATCAATAAATCATCCTCTGAAAAGTTGATCCCATAGAGTCCAGGCCACTGGTTATCACCAAATGAGCTCAAAATTGCTTCTATAGGAGAGGATGAAGAATAAACACCTTTCATAACAAGGTGTTTTAAAACAGTCCGCGCCAAACGCTTATGCAATTATCACAGTTATAACTCATGCTGTGTTTATTTTAATAGTGACAGATGGAGCTTCTTTGGCAAAAAAATCAAGAGGGCCCAAATCACAGACGGTCGTAGAGCAAGTGGAACAAGAGAGACAGATGGTGGGCAAAGAAAGAGCACTTGAGGAAGTGGAGATTTTAGAGCAGGGAGGCCCCAAAGATACAGCACTGGAAGACGAATCCCTAGCCAAAAATGTGGTAGCTCTTGCTGCCCAAAATGCTGGAAAAGATCAGCTTGTGAGAGAAGAGACTGAACTGGAGAAAGAAGCAGAAGTAGAATCGGATGAGGACTATGTAGAAGAAGAAGAAGAAATGCACGAGAAGTTGAAGTCTTCTGAAGGGGAGTTAAAAGCAGAGGGGAAAGTGAAAGAGCCAAAAGAAACGTTATCAGAACATGAAACTTCTGATGGAGAGGAACTATCAGGGGGATATCTGTTAGAAGAGGAGGAAGTAGAGGACCAGAGTGTCAGTGGAGATCTAGTAGCTGTTGAGGAAGCCTCTGACAGACAAGAAGGTGAACAAGAGGTACCTGAAGCATCTGAAATGTTGGGGACTGTGGAATCAGTGGGAAAGAAAGTTATAGAAAATGAAGTACAGGAGACAAAGGAGACTATACAAGAGGCATTTCAGGGAGATGAGGCTTTGGAGACAGCGTCTGTGGAGGACAAAGAGAAAAATATGGAAGAAACTAAGCCTGAAAGAAATGGAACTTGGCCAGACCACAAGCCTGGCACAGAGGGTGTAGTAAAAGTGGAGCTCACAGACGGTGAAGGTGTGAGTGCCACCTTTTTGAAAGAAGAGGAACACATGAAGGAAAGGGAAGATACAGAAATCAATCTGGGGGAAGCGTCCACCATTGAAACAGAGTTTATAGCACCAGACTCAAAGGTGAAAGAGAGAATCCCCATAGATGAAAAGGATGTGGCTTTAGAAAAAATAGTAGATGAAGATGATTTTATACGAGAAGCTCCTTTTGACCTGGAGGCAAGTATCCAGGAAGGTTCATTCATGTTGGAGGGAGATTCAGAAAAAATACCTCCAAAAATGAGTAAGAGGAAAACTACATCTACAGAAGATGTTTCAGCAGTGGAAGCTGTGGAAGAGGAAACAAAACAGGAAGGGAGAGTAGAGATGTTGATGTCTGGAATGACAGCTCCTAAAAGGAAGCAGAGTATTGAGAAAGAATACTTTGCTGATGTTGTCCCAGAGGCTCTACCATTTGCAACTGAGGAATCCATAAGGCAGGCAGAGGAAAAAAGAAAGGAGATGGTTAAAGGGGAGGCAGATGCTGAAGAGGCAGAAAGAAAGGTGATGGTTAAAGACAAGGTTAAAGCTGAAGAGACCAAAAGAAAATTGGCAATTGAAGGGGATGAGGAAGATGAAGAGACACAAAGATTGCTAACAGTTAAATGGAAAATGAAAGATGAAGATTCAGAATCTGAGGGAGAAATTTTGTCTCTGGTCACAGAATCTGAGGGAGAACCAACTTCTGAGATGACCATCATGAGATGGCAAAATATAGTCAATTTGGAAGAAGACACTGTAGCAGAGGCAAAAGATGTACCTGAATCATCAGCACAGAAAGTAAGATTAGCAGGAGGATTGAACAAAGAGAGTGGAATGGAGAATGAACCAGATGTCCAAGATAAACCGGGAGAAACATCTGAAGGGACAGGGCAAACATCAGTTTACATGGAAGTTCAGGATGATGAGGTGACTGAAGATGAGGGATCAGACACAGAAGAACAGATAACAGGTGAAGGAATAACCCTGGCAGATGTAGAGGAAGCTTTGTTAATAGGAATACAGCAGTTCATAACAGAAGTATCACGGTTGAATGAAGAAGTGGAAGATAAGGAAGAAGACTCTCCAGTGGAAGATTTAGCGGAAGAGGAAATGTCAAATCAGAAGGATCTTGACAGGCAAGATTTCTTTTCAGCAGGAATGGCAGAAGAAAGATGGCAAGCTGAGAGCAAAAAAGTTGACGAAAGAGGAATAGGGGAACCTGTGGATAGAAACTCTTTGGAGGGAAACGACGGAAGCGGAAAGAAAAAGACACGACAGGAGGAATCACCAGAAGAAAATCAGGCAGTGACAGAAGTCAATCAGTGGAGCACTGAGCAGTCTGAAGGAGGACAGCCCTGAGAGCTGATTGACTGAGAAGACAGAGACTTGAGGGGAAGGTGAGCATGTTTCTCTATATGACAAATAAGCTGCTCCCTTGTCTAAAGGCTTTTGCTAGGCAAGTGGCATGTATGAATGGGTGTCTGTGTTAAGGGAAGAGGAAGAAATGTTTCCCTTTTAAATGGCAGGACATATTTTCATAGTATGCGACAAATTGCATCTTAAACTCACCAGGCAATTTTCGCATTTGTATGTATAGATTTGGAAGGCAGGATATGTTCTGGCTAAAGTTAAGTGACACAAATCTTAATCAGAAGAGGTAAGCCATGGACTTAATCTTTTAAGAAAAAATCATACATATTTAAAGATGGTTTACCAGGCTGGATCATGGCATTGTCTATATACTATTTTTCTATGAAGCATTCAGAGCAGCTTATATATGGTTCCCAGAAGTAGCCTCTTATCAGGTTAACATTTGGGGTCAGAGCCATTTAGGTTCTGTGGTAGAACTGCTCTGTGATCCTTCAGATCTTTCTCTGCACAGGTATCTAAAGTATTGAGTCCAGCTTTTTATATTGGCAAAATTTTCCATGCTTGATTCAGTAAATACTTCTGTGTGTTCACCATTTCCGAAAGAGGTGAGAACATTCTATGGGCAGAGTATTTATCCAGATTTAGCTTCTTTTAGTAAAGGAGGTCCAGAGACTTATGGCATTTCTGAGATTATTAAGGTTGATATAAGCCTCTTGAGAACATTCCCTCTGCTTGATGGAGCAAAGTTCATATAACAAAAAGGGAGATAACAATGCCAGTGGAGCACTAACCATGGATAGCATCGTAGTTGAGATATCTGTATGTCACATAAAATTTCCTTCTACTGAGTCAGTCCACTGGTTCATCTGGCTGAGTATGGTCTACTCTTTTAATGGATCTAATGAAGATACCTAGCGTGTCTTCTGGTGAACATGCAAAATGGTGTTGGTGTTGGTTGTGGAGATGCAAAAAAGCCTCCAACCTTCTACATGCAAAGTGCAATCATTGGCAACAATACCACTCACACCCATTTCACCCCCCACACCACTGATACTCTGTGAACAGCAACCAGAGAGGAATCCCATTCACCTTCTCCCCCTTCTGGATTTTCCCTTTGAAAAACAAAGTAAGCAAGTGATCTGCATATCAAATATCTGAATGTTATCATAGCTTCTGCACAATAAACCGCCATTTACATTGCTGCATTTAATGTACATCTGCAGCATCAGAATTCAAATGATTCTTCCTCGTATGACCTGTCAAGAACAAATATTTTGCTGCCAAAAATTATTCAAATGCTGCACCAAGAAAATTCTAATTTGGCGTCACAAATGATATGAACAAGAAGTACAAATGAGATTGTTTTAATTGTTTGTACTTTTTAACAGGCCTTACATTAAAAAAAATGATAATCACCACTGGCAACCACCTGGCATATATCCTTTGATTTGTATTCCTGTACTGAGCAGGGGGTTGGACTTGATGGCCTTATGAGCCTCTTCCAACTTCATGATTCTATGATTCTATGAAAACAATATCCAGATCATTGGTAGGCTCACTTTAAAGTAAATAATTGATTTTGTAACTTTAAGGAACTACTGCAAGAAAAATAGTTTGTAGATTTTCTGCGTACATTTCCTATTATTTCACTATGTGAAGTCATCAGAATTGTCTGTCTCAAGAGTTATGATTTATACACTGTACTGCTAACTTTCTTCTCGTTTTGTTTCCCCAGAATGGTCTGGGGTTGGATATTCCTATTATGTCATCATGGCAGTCCCAAGACATGGCGGAGAAAAAGATACACTCGAGCATCTTCTTCCGTTCTTTCAGTGCTAGCAGTTTCTCATTTCTACTACTATTATTATGATGATTATTTAGTAACTTTTAAAAAAATCAGTTAAGATTGGTGCCAGCTGGAGTATCTACCCACTCCTTTCTTTGCCTTCTTGACTCGTATGAACATCTGGCACTTTGCACCAGAACAGCTTCAGACAAGTGAAATAAGCCTATCTAACCCATTTCAGAAATAGCACTCCTTTATAATTATGAAAATAATAATCATGAGGCCTTTCCAACAGCTGCCACAGATTTCTTTTAAAAACCAGAGAATTATTGTGTTAGTGGAACTTTCCCAGATTCAACCAGTAAACTGCGGTGACAGCGAGAGCCATATGAAGACTTTATGTAGAATTAAAAAAACACCTGTAAACAGATACGAGAACTGTATACATTGTGATTGTATCCATCTTTTCTTGCTCTGCCTTCTGTGTTTCTTTCTTTACAGAAAAAAAGATAGGCAATTAAGGCAATTATATGCATTCATACACATGTGTTCCAAGGGAAGTATTTTGTGTTGTGACTGGGATGTTTAGGAGATAACTGTCAATGTTAGTTATATAATGGTTAATTCTGTGCTCATAGAGTTCACAACTTACCGTGTTCAAAGGTTGATCATAACTCAACAAGGAGTTAGATGAATTCCAAAGATTATGTAGTATTTGTTGTTGCTGCTGCTGTTCTGTGTGTGAGCTTTGCAGGGGCCAACCCATGCAGATCTTATGATATGATCCCATTGCCTTCTCTCGTGAGCTTTGGAGCCCTCTTCAAGGAACAAGGATAGCTGATTCCTATTTTAAGAGTGGCATTTTCTGTGGAATTTCTTGAAGCCAAGCCTTTGTCTCAGATAACCACAACTTCTCAGATCCATTAGCAGTATTATTTCAGTAATAAGCTGGTGGGTTTCGGAGTGACTGCAACATAGATAAGGCACTCATCATGAGCCTTTTGTGTCTTGCACAAAAGTGGTTCACACACAGGTATGCCAAGAAGCAAGCTCAGTGCAAAGACTGTCAAAATGAAATTCCTAAGTGAAGACTTCAGGGATTGAGGGCAACACATGACACCATAGTACAAAAACACTAACATCACTTTAAAAAAAAGATGAGGGATAGTCCCTTTCCATGTATGCTGATATTGTAGTTCCTTGGTAATTTCTCCATCAGCTATATGAATTTGTTGTGCATCAGAGTGCCCATATAGGATTTTAAATTTATCCTTCATAAAGATACTGCCATTTATCTGAGGAACTTGAGTGTTACTTGCTTGCTTTATGCTGTTTCGGATTTTCCTTTTGAGCATTATAGCAAATGCCTGAGAAGGTTAAGAGTTACCTTGAATGAGCAGGAGTTTCAGCAGCACCTCCAGTTGCAACTTTATTTCTTTGTGTGTGTTTGTGTGTGTGTATTTCCAGGCTTTCTTTCTCCCAATGAGGAGACCCAAGGTGGCTCACAACAATTGAAAAAGTTAGGTTAAAACCACAATAAATTACAAAGTTATAAAACAATTAAACATGTAATACTGATTACCTAAATATTTAGAGACTTTAAAACACATTTAAAAAGCACTTACGCTCAGCATCTGAGAAGAGTCAACTCAGAAGGTGGTGCTGCGGGGTGGGGGGACTCCCGATTGCCTGTGAAAGATGAGATTTCTGTTTTGTCCTCCCCCGTGCTATTTTACACATAAATGAAACCACTGGGAGAAGTTGTCTAGCATTTTGGAGTCCAATACCATTGCAGGCATATTTGACAGGAGCGTGAAAGAAGGCCTTCCCTGCTCCCATGTTGCGGAATGCTCTTTTTTGAGAAATTAATTTAGCCCCTTTTATCCTTTCAGCAACAGTTAAAACTCCTGCCTCTTTAGGCACGCTTTTAATAACTAAGATTGAATCTTCTCAAGAGTTGTCCAATACAGTGGGGTTGGCTTCTTCAATAATAAGCTTACTACTGCCTCCTTTATGTATGCTGCCATCCTGCCTTTTTGCAAGAAGGCATTTGCCACTCCTGTTATCCAGCCAGTCCCCCTCTGGCTGCTTATATAAGCCAGGAAGGGCAAGAATCCAGCATAGATGTTATAACTTTTTCTTCAAGGATCCTGTCCATATCCTCAACCTGTACTGATTGAAATATATCCCTTATCTCTGGACAAGAAGGGGACAAAGTTATATCCCCAAGACCTCCATCAACTGCAATATCCAAGTCAGAGCAGTTCCAAGTAACACTGTCTGCAACATGACGTGCAAATTCCCTTTGTATAGATCAAAGAATTTCAATGAGGCCATTTTCTCCTGTACCACCATGGCATGATGACAAGCTATAGTATACGTGATAAATCTTTCTTGCGTCTACATCAATACCTAGTTGGAGTTCCACTTCTGTTTTGGATTCTCAAAAGCATTTTACAGTTCATGGCCCATCTACAAAAAGCATCTCAGAATGAATGGGTGCATCTGTGATGAATTCAGTATGACTAAAACAAGACTGCCAGACAACCTTTCTGCTAAGAGATTAAAACGCTGGCATCATCTCATCTTTTTCCCTGCTCTGATATGAGTTGTGTACTGTACTTCTGCATGAAGGTAAGAAATTACAAGATATTGTCATTTTTAACCAAATAAAAATGGTTAACCCATCTGAAGCAAACATGCCTGCTCAATCTGCCTATGGCACCCCCCCCCCCCCCAATTGAGCAGACATTGCTGAATGAAGATCACTGAGGTGGTGGGGAGCACAAAGGTCCTGAGATTGGGCATCCACACTTTCTGGAGGGTAGCCCTTTCATGAATAGATATCTGATGAGCTGGAAGAACTGAATATTCAGGATATTCTCATGTATGCAACACCTGTGTTCCATCAGTATGTGTGTCAGGAACATGTCTCCTAAGAGAAGCCATCCTACTAGCGGAAGAAGCCAAACTGTAGTTCCCAGTGTCCACCACCTCTTCCCCTAGGCTGGGTCAGATCTGGAAAGTCCACGACTGGGCAACTATCAGCAAGCTTTTGTCCCTAGATTTCCAATTACTCACTTATTTAAGCTTAAAAACTCTTTAGTTTGAACCTTTCACACCAGCCTGACCAAGTAGGACACCCAAATAATAATAAAAAGCAAACATAGCCCTTGTGACTAAGGCACTGCCTTTAGGCGCTCTCACCCTTCCCCCAAGGATCACACTTGGGTAAAATTTAAAGTATTTATTTAAAAAGAATAAAAGGTTATAAAAGAAAAGAAATACAAAAAGGTACAAATTGTACTGGTTTAATGCCAAGCATCCAAGTATTAAAGTAAGCTCCCTTAAGACTTTGCCATAAAACAATAAAACACTCATAGTTTTACTACTTAATTTCTAGACTATTCTAAGTAACTATGACTAAGTCTTCAGTCAGTCAATGGCTGTAAACCTGTCATCCATCTTCCTTTCCTTCTCCAACTTACACTCTCACACGCACCTACACTTAGCCCCCCTTTTCAAAAGTTTCTTTTTCATGATGGTATCCAGTCAGTGTACAGTCCTTTGTCTGCAACTCCATGCCCAACATGTAACTTTCCACAGCTCCTCCTCTTGTTCCCAGGCTGGTATGTCATTAGCAAGGAATGTTATGGTTATCGGCCCTGAGATATGGCCTTGGCTCTTCTTCACAAGAGCAGTTAGATCTCTGAGACAAAACACCTGCAAGGCTTGGGAAACAAGCACTACAAAACCCATATTCTCACAATGCATACATGGCGGACAAAATCCTAAAGATGCAACAGCTTTGGAAGGCCCTCAGGGACCAACTGAAAGAAGCTGAAAGATCTAGACTGGGTTCATGGGCCTCCAATTAGCCACCCTTGATTTTTGTCTAGCTGCCAACTGCCTTTTATGTGCATCTGAAGTGTCTTGTGCAAATGTATGACACCTCTGTGAGTGAACAAACCAAGTTCTTGGCTTATTTATTTTCCTAAATTTTAAAAACGGCATATGTAATCAATCTTACGGGTTTTTTTAACAATTAGTAGTGGCACTGCTGGTAACTGGATGGACCACAAAACATCTCAGTGGTGTATTTTCTTTGATGTATAATTCAAAGAACCTTCTTTTCTGAGAGAGGAATGAGGCTAATTTGACCTCAGCAAACGCTATGTGGACTTTGTACCAATCTGGATTCTAGATTTTGGTGTGTTTTTTTTTTCTTTTTAAAAAAATAACCTAATCCATTTGAATTAATAACTCAATGCTTTTGAAAAGCATGCTTTGCCCCAAAGGCCGGCTATTTCTTCTATAGAGACCAATTAACTGAGGCAGTCTTTCCTTCTAATAGCCAATTATATTAATTATCAGTAAAACAACGTGTTTGCTTTGCTTGAATCCAACAAGTTGGCTTTGTCAAATGCTTTGCATTTCAAACTACTAAAAGTCTGCAGCAGCAACGGGCCAGGAATCCACAAATGGAATTCAAATCCCATCTGAGCTCAGAAGGTCAGGTGCTGGCAACTGGACTGGGCAATTAAAACATTTCTTCCCCAGCTTGCTGCTGCTCTCGTTCTATTTCTAGTCCTCATTAATTTCTTACACTTGAATGGAGCCATTAATGGCAATGCCTTGGACATAGAGCTGGCACCTTTTACTGGCAGGGCTCTGCCTTCACCAGCTGCAAAGTAGGAGAAATGGTTCCACTGTATCATCTGATGCCATAAAAAAAAAAACAGCCTTTGCATTCTCTCTCCTTTCCATGCAGCCCTTAAAGGCACAGAAGTTCTTCTGGAAACACACACACACTCTTCCTCTGTCCCCTTTCCTCAGCTGAAAGTGAAAATGTCACCCAAAATACACTGAAACTCCTGAGAATTTTGGATGTGTCCACACTGGCATAATGGATCAATGATAGTGTGGTTTGAGTGGGGTGGAGGAAGTCCACATCTGCATATGTTTCTACTTAGAACTATCTATCCTTCCCCTTTAAGAGTTGTTGTGCCCCTTTCTGCATTCATGCATTCTTTTTGGCACAATTCAGCTTCGTTAAGCCTGCATGGACAGATACCTTTCACCAAAATGGCACTGTGGGCAGCATTAACTGTGGTGGCTACCATGTGATATGTATTAGGTGGCATTGAAAGGGAGGGTGAAGAAGGCCCCCTCCTCTATTCTTGTCTCTTTTAAAAAATATTTCCCTAACAGTGAAATTCTGGTACCATGCTGATATATTACCATTTTGATATGCCAATTATTTTAGCATCATCAACAATGAAGGGAAGTCACCACTGCTCCCTGAATGTCTCCTGAGAGAAAAGGCATGGAAGAGAGAGAGAAAGCTATGTTGACTCCCTGGGTTTTCAATGAAGCACAGCCTCAGCAGAGCCCTGGCTGAGAAGAAAGGGAGGCAGGGAAAGGGGGATAATCTCTCTTCCATCT